GGCGGCCGACCGTCAAAAGTCCAGAGACTCAGGAAAGTTTCTGTCGTTTTCGCGGTCGATCGCACATGGCGCGCCGGTCGACCACGAGTCGGGTCTAAGCTGGGTATTGGTTTTTAACCCGTTTCGTTTCTGAGTTGATATATAAGTCTAATCCTAATTAATTAGGGTTAAGCAATGACGTTTTCAGCAGGCTTTGAGAGATGATTGTTGCATCCAAGTCACTGTTTTAAATATCGGCCGATAATTGATATTATCGGCCGAGTTATCGGATTTGGGAGCTCTCCGCTAGGATAAATTGGATTTTTAATCGGTTATCGTTTTTCTAGGTTTATCGGCGATTTATCGGCGTTATCGGCACTTATCGGCCGATAAGTAAGACTTTTTTATCGGGATTATCGGAAAGTCACGTTTTCAGCTTGCTGTTTTCATCTATCTAAGTTAAACCTTAACTTGTCTGCTAACCTGAAGGAAGTGGATCTAGCATGCTTCAATCTCAATAGTCTTAATTTGAAATAAATTTCCTGTTATATCTTTGTTAATTTGTTCTACGACTCATCAGAAGATCAGGATCCATACTGTAAGAACAATGTTTTGCATCTAGGAAGCTAGAGCAGCCTTTCTGCTGTTATAGACCAGAAAATTTTAGGCTTTGGTTTCCTTGGCTGGTCCAGATGCACGGGATTTGGGCGGTCATGCAAGCATACGCTGTTAAGTAGGAAGCACCAGAAAGGCATAGACACACCAGCCCCATATCTCTATGTTAGAACTATTCCACCCACATCATGTGCTCTAGCATCAAGGACGAGTTCCTTCAAATACTGAAAAAATATAATAATAAGTCCTCCATAAAATCATGATGGAAGAACTTGGAATACAACTTTACTTGCCAGACTTTTAAGCAGTTGAATTAGCAACCATTAATACCTAATCACAATATTTGTTAAATAGATAAAACACTAAAAGTTAATTGTTTCCTAACTTGATTAGTATATCCTTTGTGTTTCATAATACCCTGCAACTTATTTAACCTTTTAGTGATGTATCCATTTACATCCATTATTTTAAGGATTTGAACATATGTCTGCCAGCCTTATGTCAGTGTAAGCATGCATCATAGAACAAATAATGGGATTTTATCACCCTAATTTAGAGGGTTCAGATCCATCAAGCTTACTTAGTGGAGATGCACAATACATTCTGATCAATCCACTTTTTAACAACTCTATTTACGAAGATTACAGAAATGGTAATTGGTTGAAGAAGTAGATTGGATAAGGCCACAATAAGGAAGTGTTATTTAGATGAAGAGGAAGTAAGGTAATAATTTACTTACTATGAGGTGCAATCCACCAAATATCTCTGGATTCAAAATAAGTGTAATAAGTGTAGATTTTGGGAGTTGATGGAGTGGAAACTCAAACTAGAAGAAGTAATGTTTTTGGGAATATGCATAAAGATTTATATCTATGAATTTTGCAATGTACATACAATTACAGCGTTGCACTGTGAAAATTTCGATATTCTTTATCATTGATGAGGCCAAAAAAACATCTTTGCACTGAACTGTTGGATGATATTATGATCTATATACGCCGAGTGCTTAACCATGATGATGATCATTCCATATATCAAATAAGTGAGAGGCCTTAAAATGGGACAGGTCCAATGAAAGGGTGGTTCATGTCACTACTTAAACTGAACACTCTTGTAGGCTTGATTACTTAAACACGCATATATCTCCTTTTCGTTTAGAAACTTAAGGCTGTGAATAGGTATTTTTTATTTGAACTTGCTTTCAACTTATGCTAATATTTATTTTACTCACCATGTGTAGATAGCTTTAGTGTATTACAGTAATACTCTTATAGAAGAACAAATATGGGATAAATGCTTTCAACCTATGCTTTAGTGTACATGTTGTGAACAGGTACATGGGTTGAATCCGCTTTCCAACTTACCCATATTAATTTCTATGAAATGAATAACAAATCATCAACATTTTGGATAAATGCTTTGTTTGTAATTTACTTTATTCTACAAGTTTTCTTTTATAACATGGAAAATTTTGAAATTATTACTCATTCTGAAAATATTGAATATGCTTTATCAATGCATGCATATATGAAAATAATTCCTAAGATATTGTTATTCATGAAGTTCCCTGAGAAACTAGAAAGTAAGTTTAAATTGAATCATTTCCAAGAACAAACATTATGCTGAGAGTGCTCATTAATACAAAACGAACTTGATTTTTAGTGAATTGATCCAATCTCGATCTATATAATATTGAGCAGCAAAAAATATTCAGACCAAATCACATGCTAGATCTGACAAGCCAACTTGAACTTTCACTGCACAAAATCTTGGACAATAATCTTATGCTAACATGCATTCTTGTGTTAGAGGGTGTAGATATGGGTGTTTACTGGAAATATTTTTTCTTAAGTTTTAATGTTATCCTCTTCTTGTTTGTTTAATCTTTTTGTCCTTGTGCATATTTTTAAGTGCTGTAGTTTTGCATCTTATACCACTTGCACACATGTTCATGAAAAACTTTTCCCCTAAAGTTGCTTTATTTGTGGATGAATCAGCTAATTCCTGCTTCATTGCAACGTAGCGAAATGTGGAGAAAGTACTTATCAGTAAAGGTAATTTCCTGGGATTTATCATATATGAGCTCAATAAAGAACTGCTTGCATCTGCTATTTCCTATTAACATTTTAGGCTTCAAATTGTCATGGCATTTATGGATTTATTATGACACGTAAGAAATCGGAGAAAAAAATGAAAAGTTCAAGAGAAGTTGTAGACCCTCAACTGTATTGGATGTCCCAACATTAAGAAATTTAAAGTCACGTCTTCAGCTTGCTGTTTTCATCTATCTAAGTTAAACCTTAACTTGTCTGCTAACTTGAAGGAAGTGGATCTAGCATGCTTCAATCTCAATAGTCTTAATTTGAAATAAATTTCCTGTTATATCTTTGTTAGTTTGTCATCTGGTTGTATCTACATGTCCACTAATAGTTTTTTTTCTGTTCCCCCCTTTTTTTGGTGTTCAGCAATTGTTGCTCCTTGGAGATCTTGAAGCTTGATTGCTCCAGATTGATAAACCTTCAGCTTCTGGTAATTGCATTTCTGAATTCTGATACTGCAAATATATAACATATTCTCATATTTTAAATTTATGGATCATAAAAATCATTAGCCTTGTGTCCTGTGGGAACTCCAAATAGAGAGTCTAATATTAGTTTTATGATCAACCTTACGTCATCACTGTGCCAAATCTCTTGGCAATGACTGATAGCATTAAACATTAAACTTTAAAAGGAAAAGGTTGGTAATATGAATGTTGACTGGTGGTGCTTCTTCTTCCTGCGCTATGGACTTCTCTCTTCACTCCTCTCGGCCACGCCTCCCCTTCCATCTTCTCGGTGAGCTCCTCCTCCTGGCGATCTCAACATCATTTAAGATTGCCATTATTATTAGTGTTATTATTCTTGTAAAATTTACGTGTTGCTTCTGTGGATGGGGTAATTAGGATTAGGTTTAGGTAACCGCTACACCCCCTTCCGATCGCAATATTGGGATGTTTACCGCCTGATCCAGCTTATGTGCGAGCGAAGGAAGGAGTTTGTAGATTGCATAGGTAGGTAGGGTGGATCCATCATGCGTATAACAATATCAAACTCCATTCCAAACAGGTGCATACGAAAGAGCACAATTAATTTTGTAGGGCAGTAAACTGATTACATTCACATGCTCACGATGCGATTACTTTAGGAGCGTATTTCATACATGGACACTTTATTACACACAAAAAAAATGAAGCTTTATCCTTTTGACGTTCCCCTCTTTGGAGTTTGGAGACATCTGATTTGGTACAGGTACATGGCCTCACGCATTTGTTATTTCTGCAGCTTATCACAAATGTTGGAGATTTTTCTCAGTGGTAAGTACATCATATGTCACCCTTATGAGGCTAGATGGGCGTCGAAATTGAAATCATGGACTCCCACCTGGTGCGTGACGCAGAAGTAGTAGATTCATTCAACTTGCTATGATAGATTGAAGAGTTCTTGAAATGATCTGATGACATTGCTTCCTTAAATGCCAGTCTCTCCAAGCTTAACCACTGAATTTATTCTGTTAAACCGGTATAAAGAGTACATGGAAAATAATTAGTGAGGAGTTGGGACTTGTATAAAGAGTACATGGAAAAGAATTAGTGAGGAGTTTGGACTTTTTTAATTTGTTATTCTGAGTGTATGTCGCAAATATTAGTAAAAAATTAAAGACAAAAGAATCTAGGACAAATTGCTAACGGACCATAAGACACAGAAAAATATATTGCTAGAGGTTTATCGCGGAATATGCACACTAATTTGTGAGCGTGTCATGAATCAAAATGGCACTTGCCATGAGTCCTCAAGGATGTGTTGAGTGCACATCTGACAAATGCCACATAGCCCAACATGTCCGTAAATCTTACTCTACAACTTTCAATATAATAGGAGAAAACTTCTCAATGTATGGTAAATTCACTGTTGAATGTGTCTGCATTGGTTTGATGATCTTAGTGCATAGCATAGGACACTACTTTCTATCTAAAAGTTTCCCCCCCAAATACTTAGACTTAATATTTCTGCCACTATTACATGAGCTCATTGGATTAGAATCTGAGAGTGGAATCAATATTGTAGATTGAATTACTAACATAAGCAATTTTTTTAACTGAGAAGGTTTCGATATCTTCAAGTATGTCTTCCTATGTATACGTCTCATATTCCGTTATATTCTTGTTCTTATTGGTCATTGTTTGAAAAAGAGTAAATTGTTTCCTGCAGGAGTGGAATGCTCCAAAACCAAGGCATCTCTCTCTCTCTCCTGAAGGGTGCTTTACAACGTGGGCTTGTGAGTGGAGCCGTTTCTTCAATATTAATCTTTATGCTTTGTGATGATCTACCTGACTGTATTCAGGTATACATATCCTTCTGGAGATATTTATAGTTTGATTTCCATTTCAACAAGAATTCAATTACCCAGTTGTTTGATTCTTGCTAACTTTCATTGTATCATTCAATGTTAGCAACAAGTTAGGATTTTTAACCGTATCTGCATTTTCTTTAAGATAGGTAGCTAGCTTTTTAAGCTATGAACTTATGCAGAGCACAAATGAAGCAGACTTCTACACTGAATACGGCGAAGCGAGCCGATACCAGATTCATGAGGTGGTCGGCAAGGGAAGTTATGGGGTCGTCGACGCGGCCGTGGATACCCACAATGGAGAGAAGGTGACAATCAAGAAGATAAACGATGTCTTCGAGCATGTTTCGGATGCTACTCGCATCTTGCGAGAAATCAAATTGCTTGGGCTGCTCCGCCACCCTGACATTGTAGAAATTAGGCACATAATGCTTCCTCCATCACGGAGAGAATTTAAAGATATTTATGTTGTTTTCAAGTTGATGGAATCTAACCTTAATCAAGTTATCAAGGCAAATGACGATCTCACGCCTGAACACCATCAGTTTTTTATGTACCAACTTTTGCGAGCTATGAAGTATATCCATAGCTATGAAGTATATCCACATTGGTGAATGCCTTTTTTTTTGCTGGCTTGATTGGGCGTTGACAACTATTTTTCTCTAACAATATCAATGGTTGTTTTTTGTGTGTTATTGGTTATCAGCCAATGTTTTTCATCGGGACTTGAAGCTAAGATCAACAAACTTTTTCTTGATTGTGCGGTCACTTTTATCACGTGCACCATATATATGGTTGATTAGGTTCCTTCTCTATGGACAATATTCTAATTAGTCCTGTGAGATAATGTTTAATTGGCATTCATCTTGTGTATTGTGTATAAGTTCAATGCATAATTATGAAAACATTATTTTCTTAATATGTATGACATGCAATGTATGTATCCATATGTTTGATACATGGTTTAAATTAAATAAATCTTAATGAAATGAATAAAAATGTATGTATCCATATGTTTGATACATGGTTTAAATTAAATAAATCTTAATGAAATGAATAAATAACAAAAGAATAAATTAAAAATTTTACCACGTGCAATTAAATAAATCTTAATGAAATGAATAAATAACAAAAGAATAAATTAAAAATTTTACCACGTGCATTGTACGTGCAATCTAACTAGCGATTGAAAAGGAGGCAGTCGAGACGCAATAAAAAAATTTAGTCACACCATTTCCTTCCAAACCATGTTCTCTTCATCGCATACATTTAATACTGCCAGTTTTCATGGTCGTATGCTTTCCCAACATCGTCAATTATTTCATTTGCCACCAAGGCCGTGTCCAAGATTTATCTTCAAGCAATGAAAGCATTTGATTCTTAGAGATCGAGTCGTTGATCACCTTCAACCTACTTGAAAGAACCATCGACAAAATCTTGTAGACGCTCGTTATCAGGCTAAAAGGCCTAAAATCCTTTAGGGCTTGTTTGGTAATCAGTATTTGATTTTAAATACCGTAATTGGCCAAATTATATTGTTTTGATTCAAAAGAATTTGAATACCAGATATTAGCCCAAATCCATTAACCTTGAAAGCCCGTAATAGTCTCATAATTCTAAATCCCTAACTGCACCCTGTCATTTACAATTCCGCTATTCATTTTTTCGACCCGCGATCTCTCTCCCACTTCCTCTTCCGCCTCCGCTGTTTCTCTTTTCTCGACCCACGGTCTGTACTCTCTCTCTCTCTCTCTTTCTCTCTCCCCATTTCAGCTCTCAGATCTTCGCTCTCTCTCAGTTCCATTAAAACCCTAACTCCTAGATCTAACCAACGACAACTCTTCGCTCTCTCTCAGTTCCAACAAAACCCTAGCTCCTAGATCCAACCGACGATGATGATCCAAACGACGACGGCTCGCAAGCACTAATCTTACCTTGGACGACGATGACAATACAATGGTGAGATCCTAGATCTAGGAGAACTGAGATTTATTTTTCCTGAATTTTTATTGATTTGCTTTTTTTAATTTAATTTATTATTTTAATGCCTAGTTGTTGATTTAACTTCATTATGTGTTTCAATAAGAATTCTTTGAATCTGTTATTAGTTTGATTAATGATCTCGTCATTTAGTTGTTTAAGAAGTGATGATTTATCTATGATTGCAGCGAAATTAATGTTTATTGTGTCATTTATTTATTTATTTTCAATTCATGATCAATGTAGTGATGGAATAGCTTGAAGTCAAAATTTTATAGATTTTGGCATTTTATTCATGATCAATTGATGTTAACGCTTGCAAATGCGTGTGGAAACGCTGGAGTAGCTGGGGGGGGGTTCAGGAATCAGGCCGAGCCTGATCCCTCCCCCTTCTTGTTTTCAAATCTGTGACGCCATGGAATGTTTTTTGCTGTCATTAGTGAGGGTGACATTGGTCGCTGCCCATCAAAAATGTGTTAAGGATTGCCAAAACTGCAAACTGAAATGCCCCAAGTAGTAGTATTAATACTGATGTGATGATGGGAACCTGAATTTGACTGCAGTAGCCAGCTAGCCTACCTCTGATGTCTGAATAAAGTGGACTTACATACTCTTATCCGTGAAAGTTTTAACTAATAAATTGTCTGATTACTTGCTAAAAATTGTGGTTCTATATGACATGTATTTGTATATGGGCTTCGTGTTCATGCTCTCAAACATTTAAATGGAAAGTCCTTCCTTGCTGCTCTTACTAGCAAAATTGTGGCAATAGCTTGAAGTCAAAATTTTATAGATTTTGACATTTTATTCCATGATTTTCTGATAGAAAGATGAATACCCATCTCAAGTTTGAACAATTTTCTATTTGATGTGTATCTTGATATGTATGGTAAAGATATTTTTATATCTTATAAACTGCATCTGTTCTTCTTAATACTTATGCATGTTAAACCTTTCTGATGCGATCTTATGCACTATACCTTTATTCAAAATTGCATATTAATCGGTTGCACTAAGCAAAAGTATCATTGAGTGCTAAAACTTTAGGCTACAGGAAGATTTTGTTTCTTAATTTTTAATTTATGCTTGTTCAACTGAAGCCATTTTTAGGCTATTTACATTTTGTAATATATTAGTGCTGTGTTGTTAGTTCATGACTTTAAAAGTTACCTCTAAAGAGCAAATACTTGCAAACTTTTGTCATTTGTATTTGAAAATTAATATCTTGATTGCAAGCTTAGAGTGTATACCTAGTGATTTGTATCAAACTAAAGACCCTTTTAGGAATTGCATGATGCATTGTTCTACAGCCTTGTAGGTGATATCTAACATTAGAAACCTCTATTTTTGTCTCAAATACAGGAGCCTTTTGTAATCCAGGAGCCTTGTAGATGATATCTAGCATGAATATCCATATTATTATCTTTAGTGTTTGATAATTACATTTAGTAATTCTAAATATGTTATTCTTTTCCTTTACATTTACTCTATGTTACATGGTCTGATTCTATCTCTTAGATAAGTATAGTTTTACACATTAATTTTTGATGATGAAATAGTTTAGGAGAAAATGTCAGACCAACAAAGTTTACATGGTCAAAGGAGAAGCGCAAGGGAAGAAGTAGGTGAAGATGATGGGAAAAAAGCTAGTTATTATAGTTGTGACTTTCATAATAATAGTAGTTGGAGCATACCGTCATAAAAGAAGGTCTAGTATCAAGGAGATAATATGGAGTGAAGATGTACGTGCTCATAAAAGAGCCTTCTTGATGGACAAATTAATGAATAATACAATATGTCGGGAGCATCTACGTCTTAATAGGTGTTGTTTTGAGAAGTTGTGTGTCATTTTACGATCTAAAGGGGGATTAGTGACTTCTAGGAATGTCACGGTGAGAGAAGCTGTGATATTTTTCCTACATGTTATTTCTCATAACTTGAAGAATCGAACTGTTGGAGCAACATTTTTTGTTCCGGAGAAACTATAAGCCGACAATTTCATACGGTGCTCCGAGCGGTTATGAATATTGGGAAGTATTATGTCAAACAAGCAGAATGCACAACTAGTTATGCGGGAGATAACAAATGAAAATGATTTGAGGTAATAATAATTTGTTTTTTGGATACATAGATTCGTTCGTGCAAATATGTAATCTATATGATGTTATGAGGTTGATTGTTAGGGAACACTTGATGGGACACACATTCAAATGACTGTCTCTCTTGAGGATGGACCTAGATCTTGAGCACAAATATCCTTGCTGTGTGCAATCTCAATCTCCAATTCACTTATGTTTTAGCTGGCTGGGAAGGATCCACATCTGATCCTCACATCCTTCGTGATGCTTAGTAGAGGCCTAATGGTTTAAAAGTACCAACAAGACATTAGCTTGGTTTTTATAGACTTTCCTTTTTTTAACTAGTTTTTTAATGTTTAAGCTAAATTGTTTATATTGATGACATTGTAGATAAGTATTATCTTGTGGATTTGGGGTTCACCAATAGTCGGGGTTTCTTAACTCCATACAGAGGCACTCGGTACCATTTGAATTTGTGGTGAGGTAATACTCTAACAAATTACAAGGAGCTCTTCAATCTATGACATTTATCTGCTCGAAATACTATTGAAAGAGCATTTGGAGTGTTGAAGAAACGATGGGCCATTCTTAGAACAACAAGCTTCTTTGACAAAAAGACTCAAATTAGGATTATAAATGCTTTTTTTATTCTTCACAATTTTGTAAGAGATGAAAATATGGAAGAGAATAATTTATTGCGTGAGGTGGACGAGGAGCTTGAAAATACAGACACATTTGATAGCGATAGTGAGGTTGAAATTGATTACATTACAAGTGCTCGAGCAACGAATAGGTGGAGTTTTTCAAAGATGATATTGCTTTGGAGATGTTCAATGAATATCAAGCTCGAAGAGCTCGTGCTGCTTGAGATTTTCTTTTATAATTATAGGTTGATGAGCTGAATTTCATGTGTGATTTGTCTCAATATGTTTCTATTTTTTATATATGAATGGTTCATCTTTCTTTAATTTCTTTGTCCTGTTATTGGCAGTTGTAGGCATATTTCTATTACATGACTTTTCCTTTGCATAGGGAACCATATTATATTTGTTGCTAATGTGACTTTTCCTTTGAAAGTGGATACCATGAATGGATACAAATTAACTCTAAAAATAAAAAGGCAAATATAATATTTGAAGTAATAAAGGTAATATATAATTTATAACTAGATTCCATAGATTTCTTCATCGCCTTGAGCTTCTCACACAGTTCAGCATAGCTCCATGAGGTTTCGTCTAGTGGGTCTTTGGGGTAAACAGAAGGTCTTGCTATTGCTGAAATTGATGATGTGAGAACAACCTTCTTCAGAAATGGATTTTTCTTACATGATTGTAAACCGTTCAGGGTGCCTCTAACTGTAGGATCTTAGACTTCATCCTAAAATATGTTCAGTATTCACATATGATCATCTTTATTTGTCCTTTTATTAGCAGTTGCAGGCATATTTTTGTTACATGACTTTTACTTTGCATAGGGAACCATATTATATTTGTTGCTAATATAATTTTACTTCTACAAGTTCTTAATACTAAGCCTGCTGATATGATTTCCTTCCT